CTTGCTACTCAAAACAGTCCTAGTCTCTGGTCTCTATGCGTAGCACCAACCAAGCCTAGGGGGTGTATCAACATATGTATTTATACATATGTACAGCATATGTAGGCTATGCATGTGCATTGCTCTGACTGGTGCTTACTGTGGAGAGTACAACCCCACTTCTTGTATCTCTCTCTCTCTTCACTAGTCGATCACTTTTCTCTCGCCACTTTTCTCCTACATACAGTGACGGAAACAATTGTCTGGATGTCTTGCATTAATTAGGGTTTTTGGGCTTTCGGATCACTGTACATAAATTCTTAATGTTAAATGGTGGTACGCTTTGGGAGGGGCACATAGTGGATGTGTTCACAGCGCTAAAATTCATAATAGTACACTGGATCTCACTTAGTGCCAAAAGATATACAAAGAGTACATCCGGACAATTATTTCCCAGGACGAAGAGCAATCTTCCGCGCAACGTTTCTAGTACCTAGTCCACCAACACTTGGCCTTGATCGCCACCTGCAACCTCCTATGCATGTTATCTACGAGGTTAGTGCAAACCTTTATAGGGATCTTCTCGCACTCTTCCTGGACCCACCCTTTTGCAGAAGGGGGTGAGCACTATGAAAATTGTAAAGTATTTGAGCGTATGCAATAGTATTGTACACGATTTCAGATTGAATGTTATCTCTAAGACTAGCCACGCTGAGGTGTCATCTTAAGTCATAAGTCGATTAGTCCCATATTATCATGGATCGTCTTCGTCGAACTGTTGTAGGGTAAAATTACGAGCAGAGTGGCGAAAAATAGCGTGTCCGCCGCGAAACTTAGGGTAACATAGCACGGTCGACTATGCACCCTTTCACTGATGGAATCACATTAAAATCTACGGGTCTCGTCACGGTACAGCAGTCGAAAAAGCCCCGACTGGTGGGGAAGAATATCCGAGTTGAGGTCTGGTGAGGATGAGGGTCACTTGAGTGCTATAAACGCATGCTCTCCAAGCGATTCCAAGCCTAGGCAGGACACATGGCTTGGAATGGCTTGGAGAGTATGAGTTTGTTGCGCTGGAGAGACCCTTTTCCTCACTAGACCTCGACCCGGATATTATTTCTGAACATTCGCGGCTTCTTCGACTGCTGCACCATGACGAGACCTGTGGATCCTAGCGTGATTCTAATAGTGCAAGGGTGCACGGTGCACAATCGACCATGCTATGTTACCCTAAGTTTCGCGGCAGATACACTAGTTTTCGTCACTCTGCTCGTAATTTTACCCTACAACGGTACGACGAAGACAATCCGTGATAAGACGGAGTCAATCGAATTATGGCATCTTTGGCCACACCTCAGCGTGGCTAGTCTTAAAGATAACATTCAGTCAGAAATCTTTCAGAATACTCTTGCATACGCTCAAATCCTTAGCAATTTTCCTAGTGCGCACCCCCTTATGCAAAAGTGTGGGTCCAGGAAGAGTGCGAGAAGATCCCTGTAAAGGTTTGCATTAACCTCGTAGATAACATGCCTTGGAGGGTGCAGGTGGTGATCAAGACCAAGTGTTGGTGGACTAGGTACTAGAAACGCTGCGCGAAAGTTTGCTCTTTGTCATGGGAAATAATTGTCCGGATGTACTCTTTGTATATCTTTTGGCACTAAGTTAGATCCAGTGTACTATCATGGATTTTTGTGCTATGAACACATCCACTATGTGCCCCTCCCAAAGCGTACCACAATTAAACATTAAGACTTTATGTACAATGGTCGGAAAGCCCAAAAACCCTAATTAATGCAAAACATCCGGACAATTGTTTCCGTCACTGTAGCTAAAACCTCTCGTGATACAAGCGACCATATGGGAAATGAACGTTGCATGCTCCAAAAATATCGCACATGTGGTGGATTGTTTGACCTGGTAACCGGCAAGCATCTCTCAACTTGTACAATAATTTTCTTGTAGTATATTATTGTTGTGGTGACAAGGCAAAGGTATCTTGAGATTGAAAGTGCTTCCCAGAGCACAGCGAAAGTCTTTGAGTGACCTTGCCAGGGCGAATGTTTAGGCACCTCACCTCAGGAGTCCCTCTTATTTCCCACACCGCACACCTTTGAGGTTCGCACTGAAATGCAGTGTAATTAGTTAAGTACGTTATTGGTGTGCTGAAAGCTTGACCGTTACAACTCGACCCCTCCGCCACTTTCGCCTCTCGCACACACTTTCTTCGCCACTGTGGGTTCATTTCCAGGGCTTATGCTAACAGGGTGAATGCCCGTTCTTGACTGATTTTCAAGGGTTTTTTAGAGCAGCCCTTTAAAAAAGAGTTGAAATTTTACTCTCCCGTGGGTTTTCAAGGGACTTTTGGGTGCTAGGCCTTTCGTCCGAGAAAAGTTTGAGGCTACCCTTAACCAACCAACCACCCCCTCCCGAGAGAGCTTCCTCCTCACCTCACACGCGCTGCCCTGCCAATCTAGTCAGGTCGCGCACCTCATCTCGCTCGTCCACCATCAGCTTCTCCAGTAATCTCGCCAGGGCTGACTTTATCAGACTATTTACTCTGATTAGTCTGAAATCTCAGACCTGTTTTTTGGCCAAACCTGAATTTCCAGATAAGGCATTTTCCCAATCCTGATCCCTTCAGAGTACGATTCTAGGGATCCTGAGAAAATCAGAGTTGTCGCTAACCCAGTACTGAGTTTTCAGAGCACATCGCGTACAGACCCTGACTCATTACCTGTACAGTACCAACCTTCGAAAAATTTGGTGAAGTCCCCAATCGCTAGAGACATGCCCACATACCCCACAACCCCTAAAAATTTTCGGCCAAGTCCCCGAACCCTAGAGACAACCCCCACCCCACACCCCACAACCCATCTAAAATTTCGGCGAAGTCCCGGAACGCTAGAGACATCCCCCACACACCCCACAACCCACCCTAAATTTCGACTAAGTCATGTTGTCAGATACAGTCCTCCCTAACACCTGGAACAACCCAGAAGTTTTGAATGAGACTTTCACTTTTTTTTGAACTGCATTGAAATGAGAGTAAATTCCGCATTTTTAACATAGGGAAATTCTCGCCAGTTGCCCGTTTGGTCAACTGAAAGTCTAACAAAATGTAACGGTCACGATCGTTTGCGATCGTTTCGACGTATATCAATCGTTCGATGTTATATAGCGATTAACGTCCAAGATTTCCCAACCGGGGCGCTGCAAGGGCGCGAAATTTCTCCCACCCTCCTATTCCCCAGCTTCCCCCCTCCCTGCCGTTTCGATTCCCCCCTTCCCCTCCATTTTCGCTTCCCCCCTCCCCTCCGTTTCGATCACTTCCCCCCTTCCCCTCCGTTTCGCTTCCCCCATCCTCTCCGTTTCGACCGTCCCCCCCCTTCCCCCCCCTCCCCTCCGGTTCGCTTCCCCCCTCCCCTCCATTTTGATTCCCTCCCCCATTTCCCCGTCATTTTCTATTCCCCCTCTCCTCAGTTTCGATTTCCGTGGCAGTGCGATTTTACCCCCTCGGTTTTTAGGAATAACTTCCCCGTTTCCCACATTTAACAACTACGCAAAACGAGGGTGGACAAGGTTGCTGGTTGGGGGGGGCGCGGGCTGTGGGAGGATTTTTAATGCTGCAAGGAACTTAGCCGATTTTTTGGGAAATGTAGGAGGGAGGGATGTTTCTCGCTGTGGGGGTGTTTCCCGTGTGTGATTCTGGTTGTACGTCCTGGACCCTGAAAAAATCAGACTCGCTGAGTTCTGGACCCTGACATTTCAGACTACAAAAATTTCGGCTGAAGGCCCTTCAGACTATTTTTTTTTTGGGTGGGATTGGCTCAGAGTGCCTTTTTTTGAAACGTCAGCCCTGAATCTCGCCCCTCCTCCAGTCAGTTGGCCCCTCAAATCTCGCTCGCTGTTTCCGTCCATGTGAGTGAGGTTGGTGTGATGTGAGTTCTTGGCTAGCATACCTTTTTGAGACATTGCATGCATTTGGATTTTATGGACACTTCATATATGTGATTTGTAATGTAACATTGCTAGACAGATTAAAGTGCGTTTTTATAGGCGGATCGGATTTGGTTGATCGGATCTGGTGCGAGCCCTCAGGGCGTGTCCAGCGCGTTCATTTCGCCCCAATACGAATTTTTGACGTTTTTTTCACACGCAGAAATATTGATTCGCCCAGTGTGAATGTGTTGAGGTACACCTAGTGTATCAGCAGCAAAACGCTGGGACATGAGTGGACACGAGTCCCGCCCGTGGCTCGACAGATGAGCGGGTGCGCAGCGCGCACATAACAGACTGACACGCGAAAACATCAGGGTAACCGAATTTCGCCCCGGGAAAGAGGCTCCGCCGCTATGGGCTCTAGGTTGCCGTCATAGTGGCAGGTTGGCCATCGTATTTGTACAGTCGATACCTTGAATCTGTTTTTATGCATGCAAGTCGAGTCGCTCATGCAACTTCCCGTTTTTTTCGCCGTGCTTCGCAAAGGTCACGAAATCCTGGCGAATGTAAGCGTTCTATTTTTCGCCAGCCAGGATTTGGACGTTTCTGCTGTGTACATAATTTGCGCACGATTTTCATTCGGTTCGGAAACGTGTGGCCCACGTCTGTGGGCACGTCTGGAAGGTGTCCGCCGAAACCGTCAATTTATCGTGCGTGTCCGAATGGACAAATTCTGCACCCGATCCGCAAAGTGAATAGGAAACGAACGCGCTGGACACGCCCTTATTGTAAGGACACGATTTGGCCTTCCGTTTTTTTTTTTCAGGGAAAGTTTCGAGGGGCGCCCTGAACGTCTGAGCGGCGCAGGAACCTGGCATAAGCCCTGTTCGCTTCACTAATGTCCTGGCGTCCCCCTCACCTGCTCCTGCTCTTTTCTGCTCCTTCCCAAGTGCCAAAAACTCGTTATTGGTTTCTGGTGCAGCTCGGTTGGGCACAGGTATGTCGTGGTCTCTGCGTTATAGTAGTCTTCAATACGATTCCTTTTTCAAATTTGGCACCCCTTCATCAGACAGCTCGGCAATGTTCTGAATCCGTTGTGCACCACTTGACCCAGAGAAGTTGTTCGAACACTACGTCCTGCATGAGTAGCGGCAAAACTCGCGGCACTAGTACTAGAGTAGCACTGTGCCGCACTATGTGACTGTCTGACCTTGCTCGCGCCTGGCTATCGATTCGTAGAAACATATTTAGGTTTCGTATGGGTTTCCCGCAAGCACGACGTAGAAGAAGTCCTACGTCGCACAGCCAGCAATTTCCAGCCATACTGCTCGCCGTCACGTTAGGTTTCGCGGCATGCGTCGATCTCCGCCTCCCTCCCGCGGTCGCCGGCGATTCAGGTGATATTCTTACCTCCAAATTTGGCCGCCAGGTAACACTGCCGCAGCTAGTACCAGTCACGAGAACGCATGTGTGTTGAGTCGACCCTCCCGCTTGTTTGATCCGAATGCATCCCTTGCCACCCTCCCGCCGTCGCTGGTGATTCACGCGGCAGTGATTCCACCTCCTCGTTCGGCCGATTAGCACTGCGAGTAGTAAGTACGCGTTAGACTCTAACGAAGCAGGTGAAATGCAACTTCGCGCGTTTGTACGAAGCGGGGTGCACAGTTTTCCAGACTCCCATTTTTGGGATTATGGACGATTAAGTCGAATCCAATCCCGTCGAGGTGCTTTCCGAGTCATCGAGTTGACTCAAATCATGCCATCGGTGTGCTCGCCATGCCATCCATGTGCTCGCCATGCCATCCATGTGCTCATCATGCCATCCATGTGCTCATCATGCCATCCATGTGCTCATCATGCCCCTTGATTTAACGCCATTCGCGCAGTCAGAATGCGTCAGACTAATGCGTTAAAGTATGGGTTAGACTATGCCTTAGACTACGCGTGGGACTATGCGTTAGACTTCTAGCCATTAATTCCAGTACCCCGCGCGTTAGACTTGCCCGGCCACTACTACTATGACCCAAGAGCCGCCTTTATTATTGTTTTGAGAACCTAATCAGTTTCCTATTTCCCAGTCCTTGATCTCTAATCAATATCCCTCTTACCTCATCTACCAAGCAGATGGCAATGTCAGATAATCCCGTGTCGCTGGTGGGCCGAGTGAATTCCTTTGAGGGCCAAACTGTGTGATAATGATCGAGTTTTGAGCCGTCTCAAACCTCGCCTCTTTCCTACCAGACGGCGGTGCGTCTTATACCCCCTCCCCATTCCCTCATCTCTTTCCTACCAGACGGCGGTGCGTCCGAGGATCGCTTGTCGCTCGTGGGGCGAGTGGAGGCTTTCGAAGGGCAGCTTAACTACATTCTACCAGGCGAGGTCAGGTAAAGATCCCCCCTTTACCAGCCTCATCCATCACACGGATGTACCAGCCTCATCCATCACACGGATGCACCAGCCTCATGCATATCAACCCTGAATTCACCATCCTAATCCATCTGCATGCGCCTCAAAAATCGTATCTCTTCCTTTCGCGGCTGCCTCTGTTGTCTCATGCTCAGCAGGTGCCTCCCTTCCCGCTAACACTACCCCCTGAGTGCCTTCTACCACCCGCTTCCCCTGTGGCTCTTGCTTACTCTCTCGTTTCAGGTACCACCCGGAGCGGTCAGATCTCCCGATTGAACGGTTGGGATTCGACCTGAACGCGGAGGATCTGCCGAACGTGATGCTCGGGCTTCACGAGCCTGACGAGCGGCACGGGGTGAAACTAGCCTGCCACGGGCCCCCGTGCCCCAGCTTCGGCAGCTGCAGTAACAGTAACAGTGACAGTAACGGTGGTGATTACCGCAATTTCCCGAACGTCAAGGCATGCTGGAATCCCGGGATGGAAGACCCGGCCCCCGTGTTCCTCCCGGCTCCCGTGAACTGCCCGAAGGTCGAAATCTTCGAGCGGCCCGCGTGGCCCTACAGCGGGCGGAACGAATCCTGCTCGCACAAGCAAGATTTCAACCCGCGCAGCCCAACCGCCCTGCAAATATTCCGATTGCGCCACGTGTACGTGGATCCGACAGGGTACCTCTTCAACGCGTCGCACCAGTTCATCCGCAATGGCTGCGCGCGGCTCAAGCGCCTCAGGAGCGTGTTGCGCTTCCCACCGTCGCACCCGGTGATTCGAGTGAGGGCGGTGTTCAACTGGGCGTACGGTGCAGCGGCGAACTTCTACCACCTGCTCATAGAGGCGCTGCCGTCGTTCCTCGTCGCATCGACGGTGCTGCCGTCCATTCTCAAAGAAATGCCCATCCTGGCTCGATACGATCAGGTGTAGTAATTTCCCGCCCCTTGCCTGTCCCTTTCTCGTCCCTTGCTCGTTCCTTGCCCGCCCATTGCGTGTCCCTTGCCGTTCCCTTCCCTTGCTGTTCTTTTCGTTCCTCGTCGCGTCCACGGTGCTGCCGTTCGTTCTCAAAGAAATGCCCATTCTGGCCCGATACAATTAGGTACAGTAATTTCCCGTCCCTTGCCCGCCCGTTGCCGTTCCCTTGCTGTTCTTTTCGTTCCTCGTGGCATCAACGGTGCTGCCGTTCGTGGGTACTCCCCTCATCAGTGTGCGTGTCAAGAGGCAGGCAGCATGAGAGGCAGGCAGCAGGAGAGCCCATCTGGATGTGTCCATCAGTCCCTTTCCCCCTTCCCCTCCCTCTCCTCCTCTCCTCCTCTCCTCCTTTCTCCTTCCTCCTCTCCTCCTCTCCTCACCTCCTCACCTCCTCCCTTCCTCCTCTCCTCTTCTCCTCCCCTCCTCTCCTCCTCTCCTCCTCTCCTCCTCTCCTCCTCCCCTCCTCCCCTCCTCACCCCAGTGGCGAATGTACGACCGAGTGGGTTCTCCCCTCATTGGCGTGGAAAGAGGCAGCATGAGAGCCCTGCCCGCTGATTCTGACGATTTGTTTTTCATTGACACTGTTTACCAGGTACACCACAGTGTACTGTCTAGTTAGGTACAGCATGCTGTCTAATATGTACAGTATTCTGTGTAGTACATTCAGCATTCTTTTTCTGATTATGTACAGAGCACTATCTAATCATGTACTGTGTACTGTCTATTTGTGTACACTATACTGGCTTCTCATGTACAGTAATTTGTCTTATGCTGTCCTGTGTAGTGTGTTATGTACTACTGTACAAGTCGTGCGTTGTACAGTATACTGCTTCCTTTTCCCATTCAGTCTACATCCTTCCTCCGGGACTGTGCTCGTACCTCCCTCCCTCTCCTTGCGGACAAACGAAGTCTTCTTACAGACCCGCATCCACGTATGGCTACAACCACTAAGTGGTGTTCTCTCCGTTTTCCCATTCAGTCTGTGTCTTTCCTCCAGGACTGTGGTCATACCTCCCTTTCCTAGTGCACAACGCTGCGTCGGCTGCACCAACCGCACCTCCTGCTCTTGTCGTCGCTTTCCCTTCCCTCCTGAAAAACGTGCCCTCGTTCACTTTCCCTTTCCCTTCACTCCTCTTCCCTTCTCTCTCTCTTTCTTCTCCCCTCCCCAGCCCATGCTGCAGGGCTGTGGCCGTCCCTCCCTATGCACAATGGTGTGCCAGCGCCACCTGCTGCACCCGCAGGGGATCTCCCTATTCCAGCCAGACTGGACCTACCCATCCCTCCCCTCTTCTCAGCCCTCACCCATCGTCCACTCTCCTCCCCTCCCTATCCTCCTCTCTCCCCACCCCCCACAGCCCATGCTACAGGACTGTGGGCAGCGCTCCCTCTCCCTATGGACGATGCTGCGCCGGTGCCACCTGCTGCACCTGCCGCTGTCTTCACTGCACCATACCTCTTTCCTTCCCATCTGCGAGGCCTGCCCTTTTTCTTCTGTCTCCTCTCCTCCACAGCCCATGCTGCAGGACTGTGGGCAGCCCTCCCTCTCCTTGTGGACAATGCTGCGCCGACGCCACCTGCTGCACCCGCAGGGGATCCCCCTCTTCCATCCCGACTGGACCTATCGGGCCCTTCCTCCCCTCACTGCTGCACAGGCGCAGGCCCTGCCCCAGGATTGGGTGGTGGTGGTGGCCAGGCGACTCGTTAAGAAGCGATCCATTACAAACTTTAACGAGGTGGAGCAGCTGGTGGAGAGAATGTTTCCGACGGAGAGAATTGTGATGTTCAATGGCTCGCTCTCCATCCTAGAAGGTACAGCTGCTTTTCCATTACCTTTTTATTTTTTCTATGCAACTCAGTGTGCACCCGGGTTCCTGTCCCTCCTATATTAGGCCCTCTCCAACTCCGCACTTGATTCCTTCCTCACAAATCCTTCTCTCCCTTCGCAAACCCAACCCCATCGGGACTTGTTCCGGTAGATGCGTCTATTCATAGCAGGCCATGGAGCTGCACTCAGCAGCATTACCCATGTTGCCCCTTCCATCTCTCTTCCCCTGTCACTCCCTGCTTTCAGCGCGTGACTTGTTTCGGCGGACGCGTCTGTTCGTAGCCGGCCATGGAGCCGCCCTCACCAACGTGATCTTCATGCCGGAAAAGGCGTCCGTGCTCGAAATCAGACCCGACGGGTGCGAGATTGTGTGTTACAATCATCTCTCATATGCATGCTCCCTCACCTACCATCTCATATTCAGCCATGGGGGCTGCTACGACACTGTAGAAGCTCACATTTCAACTGTAGCGGCAACGCTGGAATCCATTAGCAGGAGATTTAAGGAAGAAGATAGAAAGCAAGGCTTTGATGGCAGCAATAAATAAACTCCTTTTTTGTATACAGAGACAATTTTGTAACTATATCATGTGCAAACATGGCATTACCATAACGTGACCATATTTATCATAATGTTGTAGCATATGTAGTTTAAAATCGAATACGAGGCTGAGTGTAGCAATCATTTCCATGTCCTCCTTCGCATATCAGTCACTAAACAAATCATCCAAAAGGCCAAGAACAGCAGCAGAGCGGCCAAGCCAAGAACGACCTTATTGCCAAAAAAGGTTACCATTAGCCATAGCCTCCAACAGCGAGTCAGGCCGCAACTCTTTCGGACTAATAGAACAAGTCCCGGTTTGATAGCCGTACCAGCTCCCAGGTGCACCCCTGAGCCGTCCACCATTCAAGCCTGACCCACGAGGAGCCTGCTGCAAGGGACCCTCTCTTGGACCATGGCTGCCTCTCTGCAAGCGATCTTCTTCCTCTCTAGATGACAAGTAGGCAAGGGACGACGACAGCAACTCCACTGCCAAGCTGCTAGTTTCTGGCACCGAACTCCGTGGCTGCTCCATCGCCAAAAGCGTCTCCCACTCCCCAGAGGCCTTTAGAATCGACTCGAAGGTCTTTTCCGGTACCAAAACTCTTGGTGGCTCCATCGCCAAAGCCGGCTCCCGCTCCCCAGAAGCCCTGCGCCAGCGGTTGTCGAGTTCCGTACCAGTAACCAAGTTGGAGCTGCTTCCCTCTGTGTTCCGTCTCTTGCCGATTGCCCCTGCTGCCACTGGTGCTGCCACTGGTGCTGCCACTGGTGCTGCCACTGGTGCTGCCACTGGTGCTGCCACTGGTGCTGCCACTGGTGCTGCCACTGGTGCTGCCACTGGTGCTGCCACTGGTGCTGCCACTGGTGCTGCCACTGGTGCTGCCACTGGTGCTGCCACTGGTGCTACCACTGGTGCTGCCACTGGTGCTGCCACTGGTGCTGCCACCGATCGCCTTATCAGGTCTAGCAGAGCAGCTTCCAGGAACCTATCAGCCTCGCTCTTTTGAGACTGCCTGTGTTGCAAACCCAGAGCACTCTTGCGGGCAGCGGCGCTACTCCGCATGAGGGAAGGAACACCCGCTGCATGCATGGCTCCAGCGTCAGTCTCCGCCAGTGTGCCAAGGGGAGGCCCGCTTGACACTCCTGCGTCCACTGCTGGTTCCCTTGTGGGGCCAGCTGTAATAACAGCGGCGGCAGCCCCCCACCCCCAAGTGTTGCTCGCCATAAGCAACCTCGCTGCATGCATAGCTCCAGCCTCAGTGTCACGCGGCATGTCAAGGGGAGGGAAGTTGGTGGCTGCTGCTTGCATGGCTGCTCCCCTTGTCCAGTCCACTGCAAAAGGAGCAGCAGCAGCAGCGGCAGCGGCAGCAGCACTAGTGCTGCTCTCCACACGCAACCGCTTTGCGTGATGAGCCCCATTCTCAGTCTTGCACGCTGTGCCAAGAGAAAGGGAGTTTGTGGCCGCTGCTTGCATGGCTGCTACCCTGGTTGGGTCAGCAGCAGCAGCAGCAGCAGCAGCAGCAGCAGCAGCAGCAGCATAACAGATGTTGTAGCCCTTGCGCGACCCAAGTGTTGGATGAATGGTTACTGGCACAGTCTTGTGCAGTGTGGCAGGAGGAGAGTCGCTTGTGGCTGCTGCTTCCATGGCTGCTTCCCAAGTTGGGGCAGCAGCAGCCGTAGGGGCAGCAGCAGCAGCACGGCCAGCTGCAATGCTAGCAGCAGCAGTGGCCCAAGCATTGTTTCGAGGCACTTCGAAGCAATCCCTTGTGGCATCAGCTGCCACAGCAGCCCGTGTGTTATCAGCCAAAGCACTGGCAGATGCAGCAGTAGCGGGCTCGCTACTAGACCCAGGTGAACCATCCTCCATAGCAGCAGGAGAGATAGCAGCAGTCTCCATAGTGGAAGGCGGGATAGAAGGGCCAGATACCACAGCAGCCCGTGGGTTACCAACCACAACAGCACTGGCAGATGCAGCAGTGGCAGCAGTAGCAAGCTTGCTACTAGACCCAGGTGAACCATCCTCCATAGCAGCAGGAAAGATAGCAACAGATTCGAGGCATGCCCTTGTGTCATCAGATGCCACAGCAGCCCATGGGTTCCCAACCACAACAGCACTGGCAGATGCAGCAGTAGACCCGGGTGAGCCATCCTCCATAGCAACAGCCTCCATGCAAGGGCCAGATGCAGCACGCCTGGTAGCACGGATTGTGTGAGCGAACTCAGCAAAGGCATCCTCCATATCAGCTGACTCGATAACAGCAGAATCGGTGGCAGCAGTAGCAGCAGACTCCACAGCAGAGCCAGGTGCAGCAGCACCCTCGATAGAACCAATCACGTGGGCCAACTCAGCAAAGGCATCCCCCATAGCTGCATGCTGAATAACAGTGGGCTTGATGTCAGCACGCTCCACAGCAGCGTCAGGTGCAGCACCCCCAATGGTACCAATAGCGTGGGCCAACTCAGCTAAGGCATCCTCCATAGCAGCAGACTCCATAGCAGCAAACTTCATAGCAGCAGGCTCGATAGAATCAGGCTCGATAGAAGCAGGCTCCATAGAAGCAGGCTCGATAGAAGCAGGCTCGATAGCAGGGCCAGGTCCAGCACCCTGTGTACAATTGAGAGTGTCAGCAATCTCGGCTAACATAGCCTCTACACTTGTGTGGTTGAATTCAGATGCTTTCTTCTGGGATGGAGGAAAGGCCTCGGAAGGTTCCACGAACGGTTGAAATTGGCCCTGCAGACACTCCTGGAAGCTGAAATACTTCCTGCAGGGGGGGGGAAAGCGGGAAGAGACGAAAACGAAGAGAACGCTAGCTCAGATCTCAAAAGACGCACCTCTTGAAAAGGAGCACATTGGAATGTGCAGATTTACGTCTTGAGCGGAGCAGAGAAAACTCACCTCTTGAGCACAATGAACCGGTTGCAGCACGCCTTGCTGTCCCTCCCTGGCAGCAGCCCCGCCTGGGCAATGGCCCGCCACTGCCTCGTGCCATGCTGCTCCACGTGCTGCAGCAAGATGCGGTCCTCCTGGGAGCATTGACAAAGGGGGGAGAGGAGGGAGTAGGGGAGGAGAGAAGAGGGAGGGGGGGGGTTTGAGAGAGAGAGCAAAGCCACTGCCACGTACTGTGCTGTAGCAAGATACGGTCCTCCTGGGATCGAGGAAAGGGGGGGGAGGAGGGAGGAGGGAGGAGGGAGGTATATGCAGCAAGGGAAAGCAGTAAGGACAAGCAGCGTCCGTTTCTGAGGCGCCTCAACAGCAGTACTCAGAGGCGCCTGAAACAGTCCTGCACCTACCAGGTTTAGGGTTAAGCACCTAAATGCGGAAATTCCAAGTCCTCCCTCACCTCGGGGGTCCAGGCGGGCCCAAAATTCCGTGTCCGTGCTGTCGACTTCATGGTCGGGTGAATGGCCGGGTGATACAACCAGCCGCGCTTGAAATTCACTGACTCAGGGTTTCAGGCTAACCAGCAAATTCGGAATCCGTGATGGAAATCTTGAGTCTCCTCGCTTTGCTGAGCGGCGACGGCCAGCCTGAGCAGGCGGTTGTGTCTCCGGAAGGAGCTGACTCTTGAGTCGACTCAACAGTCACTGTGCTGAGCGATGGGCAGCGTGCTGGCGGTTGCCGTCTCCAGAAGGAGGAGGGGTGGATTCGGAGCTCGGGGGACCAGGTGGGTTCGAAATTGAGCTTCCTTGCTGTCGACTTTCAGGCGGTTGCATCTCCGGAAGAAGGAGCGGTGGAAGAAGGAGCGGTGCAAGAAGGAGCGGTGGAAGAAGGAGCGGTGGAAGAAGGAGCGGTAGATTCGGAACTTTTGAGGAAGAGGAGGAGGCGGCTCAAGATCCTCGCAACGAGGAAACGGTCTTTTCAGGGAGTCCGCCTCGGACGGTGGTTTGTCACCGGGCCCGTTCCTGGCCGGGTCCTGGATGAATGAAGAACGACGAAGGAAGAAGGCTTGGGCCGACCGTAGAAAGGTTGCACTTTCGAATGGAAGTACTATGCGGAGGAACAAATGTGGTTTGAAACGCCACTCATGTGCATGGGAGAGGGGTACTTCTCCGGACTGTATCAAGCGCCCGTTCCGTTCCGCTGGCTCGGCGGCTCGGCCTGTGGACGGTAAGAGCGGGCCGCGGTCCTGGTTCTACTATCTTTCCCCCGCAGAACAAATTCCTGGCAGAACGACTCGAAATCCCGCGAGCCTTGGATTCCCCGACTTATCAGAAGAGCATTTCGTCCGAAAGGCGTGGTATGCACAAGCAGTCGCTGGTTGCACGGACGGTGCTTTGTACGAGTCGTACGCGCTATTGGTGTAATGCTGCTCCTGCCAACGCTACCGAGTGCGAGCGGTACTGCACTGTACGTGGGGGGCTTGTTTCACAGTTGGGCGCCGGAACAGGGGGAACAAGGTTGGCCACAGGTCAGCCTTTAGCCCACAGGTGAGCAGGTTCTTGGTCGGAATCGCGAGTTGCGGGGAGCTGGCACGGCCAATATGTGGGGCAGCAGCGCACTGCAGAGGGCAACGCACGGAAGGCGAATCTGCGCGGTGATATCAGGTGGCTCAGGAATGGACATGGGAGCGCGAGTTGCGAGGAGCCAGCATTGCACAGGACAACGCATGAACAGACTATGGCGATCGGAGGAAAGGGCGGTTACGTTAGGTGCCTGGAAAATCGCCAAGGCGCCGCGAGTTGCGAGGAGCTGGTATCGCGTAAGACAACGCACGAGCAGAACTCTATTACAGTATCGATCAGGCGATCTGCCCGATTTGATCCCTTGGATATGGCGAGGCGAGGCGAGGTGAGTAGTACTAGTAGACGGGGAAAGGCGAGCCCAGCCGTTACTGACAGTTCTGTTTACGAGGCCCTTGAAATCATGAGAGCAGTCTATAATGCGACGGATCTGTTTGAAATAGGGAGTGTGGCTTGACGGACCAATCGCAACCACGGGAGCGCCGGGAGCGAAAATGATGACGTCGCAACCGTATCAAACAGATCCGTCGCCCAGAGGGCTCTGCGACTCCAAGCGTGTATGCGACCAGTGGGAGTCGCAGTCGCAGAGCCCTCGGCATTTTGTTTCGTTTGCTTCAGACTGTAGACGCCTATTAGGCGTAAAAAAGGGGAGGGTTTCGCACGCTCGCTGCAGCAGCTGCGGAGACAGACTCGACTATCCGAAGCTGGCGTGACGGAATGTCGATAAGAGCAGGTTCAAATTTTATCCGACTTCGGCTACTTTGTTTTGAACCCGTTCGTGCGTAGTAGTACTGTACGTTGTATGCGAAATTTATCTGGCCGGACTCGAAATTAACTCGGAGTTACGACAAGTGGGTCTACACGTGTGACCCGACGCCATAGTCGTCGGCCATTACTGAACCGTTGTACTGTAGCACCCAACGCCATTCGTCTGCTACCGGAATCTACGCGACGCCATGATGCGTCTGCCATCCCCAAACAGGTCAGGCCCTCTAGTCTGTTTGACTCGATTAGAGCCCGAGCAGAGTGGTCCAGAAGAATCCAGACCAGATCAAACAGCATTCGCTGTAGACCTCCAGCTGACGTTATATTCCTGTTTGTCGCTTCGAGCAGGAAATCATGTAAACGACGCTGTTCTGTAAGCCCGTCCTACAAAAATTTTCCTGGGTCCATGCTTTTCTGAAGAGCAGACCGTGGATTTGACTTACTTAGCTTAGGAGAGAGGTGGTTTAGCTTTGGAGGGAGGTAGGACATCACCTGTGCGTTATCTCTGCAGAAGACATGTTTTCTTGGAGGTTCTCGCTAATTTGACGCACAGAAGTGACGAATGGAATGCGGAGGAGGTGAGGACAGATGAGGAGAAGCGAGAGGCGAGGAGAGATGAGGAGAAATGAGAGGCGAGGAGAGGTTAGGAGAGTTAACCGACGTTGCAAAACGACGCGGAGGAAGTGAAATGGATGAGGCGATCGGGGGTGGGGTGGGGGAGGTGAGGAGAGGGAAAGTGGGTGGGCGGGGGGGAGCAGGAGCGGCTAAGCCAGGCACAGCTGAGGGGACATTGCGGGAAATTGTGGTTGGGCGCGGCTCCCCGATCGGATGGACAGTGTGCTCGGGGGGGACCCCGATTCCGCGATCGGCTATTGCGTTGCGAGAGTCGTGGATTCTGATTCGCAAATGTTTCCGTTACAAATTTCCTTGAACAGAGGAGGCCCAGTCAACGAGACGAAGCCCAGTCAACAAGCCGAGGCCCCAGCCAACGGGACTGGATGAGTCGGAAGGTGGGAGGAAGGAAGCAGGGGCTCTAAATACGCTTCATAAATAGCCGCGTTTTGTGAAAATGTTCGGCTACACTTAACATTACAAGAAATGCAACCTTATCCAAGCTGCCCTCCTGCAATATTGTAAACCACCTCATTTCTTTTTCTAAGTTAATGGCTAAGTTGTGCCTTGCCTGGAGGCTAATAGACACACACATCAACAATGCCAGCGATCATCTCATGCAAAATTGTTTTTGTTGCTACATTGCAACGAAGGGGAACAATGTCGTAAAGAAGAATCGGTTGAGTAGGGGAGTACAAGGCATGAGAGTATATCTAAGTGTTATCCCTATATAGTCTGAACCCTAGCACGACTGCATTGTTCATACATATCCTAACACATATATAGATACATATATAAATGCTAATACACCCCCTAGCCTATGTAGGAGTAGAGTCTAACAAAAAATACTAATCCAGAGCAACACTACTACCGGTAGTCTGGCCTCTGGAGTATGTGACAAGAAACAGCACAGGTCAGCACTACTAGTCTAACCACTGAGATAAGGGCCAAAAGGCCAGTCAGCAAGTCTAACAAGACAGCCGGTTTAGAGTAGCAAGTACAAAGTCAGTACATGATAGATCAGAATACAAGCAAGGGCGAGACAACTGAGGCTAGGCAAGGCTGAGCACAGCAGATGGTCATGAGGCCCTAGGGCCTTGGTAATGATATCAGTAGTGTTGGCCTCTGAGGCCAATTGTACTACACAAGCCTGACTGCGTTGCTGAAAATCACGCAGCAGGAAATACCGCAGCTGGATGTGCTTCGCGCTGCCATCAAGTCTAATCTCCTGATACATGAGGATCATAGCACTGTTATAAGCAAAAAGGACCACGACAGATCTAGGCCGCTCACCTAAGTCGGTGAGCAAGAACGTTGGCCAGCGGAGCTCCTAAGCCATAGCCCCAGAGTAGATCTCTGCCTTACAACTAGATTGAGTTACAGACGACAACGTAGTGGACCTCCACGAGACTAAAGCAGTAGCTCTGTGAGGACCTGAGCATCTCCAAGGCTTCAGACCACGACGTGTCTGTGTGTCCAGTGAGGACCACTGGCTCCTGTCCTCCCAGCACAAGCTCCAGTCCTAATGTACTCGCAGATACCGCAACATCCGCTTGGCAGCCGACCAGTGCTCTAGTCAGTGCCTGCCAGTCGCAACAAAGTGAGCAAGGATACTGAGCGAGTACGCTAGATCTGGTTGAGTGCACGTCACTAGGTACATGAGGCAATCCACCAGCTTTGCGTATGGGCCACTTTGCTCGACCGGCTCTACCGGAATAGGAATAGAGAGCTTATGATCCACATGCAGAGGGGTCGGCTGTGCTGAAGAGAACTGAAGGGCGAATCGCTGGAGGAACCACGTGGGACTGGGAGAGTGTGATCCTGTGTGCGGCTCGATCACGAGAGATCTCCAAGCCCAGAGAGTGTTGTAGCTCTCCCAGGTCTGTACAGCCGTGTCGCCTGAGCAGCTAGACCTTCACTAAGGCCAGTGCGACTTAGTCAAGAGTAGCAAAGATGAGATCGTCTACGTACTGAACTTTGTAGTACGGAGTATGACTAGTACGGACAAAGAGCGAGGGATCAGGAGAAGACGAGAAGAACTGCAGAGCGGCAAGCATAATGTGGGGTGGAGCACCTGAGGCAGACTATAGACAGGACGGCACAGGCTCTATTGGGTTCCAGGTGGGAAGGGCCAAGAGAAGCCTAGTTAGCGTCTCACGTAGATCTGCTCGTGTAGACTGCCCTGCAGGAAGTTTGTGGAGAAGTCCAGTGAGTGGAGCTCGTTGTCACGCTGTACGGCTAGGTGGAGGAGCACACGAAGAGTAGCCATCTTCGGGGTAGGGAAGAAGGTCTACAAGAAGTCCATACCCTCCTGCTGACAGAAGCCTCTAGCCATGTAGCGCGCCTTGAACTTTGGCGGCTCTCCAGGTGCGCGTTTTACCCTATAGATCTGCATGCCATCGACTACATTCGCCCCAGGTTGGGGAAATACGCCACCGTAAGTGCCTGTGGGTCTGTAGGATGCCATCTCTGCCTCCATGGCCTGTATTCACTAGGCTGCCTAGGGCCCCGACACTGCCACAGCGTAAGAGCGCGGGATGAGGATGTTGAGGGCATCTAGGTCACCCTCAGGGGATTCTAACATGGCGCAGAGATAGGTGCACCCCCGACAGACAAAGGACGGGCAGGGTAGACAGGGCGGTGGCTAGCAGCGAAGTCAGCGACGGCAGTGAAAAATGCAGAGACAGTCTTAGGAGGAGCAGTAGGGTCAGTGACAAGTGACGCAAATAAGCAAGATATGATTGGACAAGCAGTGCGAGCAGAGTAAGAGGGAGGAGCATGGGACAGCGGGAGCAATGATTGGGGAGGTAACAGAAGAACATGGACTGGAGGAGCACGCGAACGAAGGACCATATGGTGGACTCTAGCATGATGAGAGACAGGACGGGCACTAGGTGGACGACGAGCAAGACAGGAGAGTATATCAAGTATTACCCTATATAGTATGAACCCTAGCAAGGCAAGAATTTTCATACATATACTAACACATTTACATTTATCTGAACGCTAACATACAAACCATAGGGCCAAGGTAACACACAAACAAGAAGATAAGATATACACATGATAATTCATGCAATTGCTTTCTAGAGTCGAGCCCCACCCCCCCGCAACATAAGCATGGCCTAAGAAGGGCCTCGGGCCGTAGGTTACAATACATTGAAACATCAAGCTTCGAAGCCTTGTGCTCTCCCAACTTGCATTTTAGCCCTTCCAATAACCATACATCAGCAATCCTGTTGTTTGCAATCGTGGCTGCTGTAATATACTTCATAATAATGATCTGGCAAACCCACTTTGGATGCTCTAGGGAGAAATAAACAAGCCCCCGCATGCGTTGTCCTCCATTTCCACACTCGCGTTCAACCCCATTGCCATGTCAGTGTCGACCCTTGCCATGCGAGCCTTTCCATCGGCAGCTTGAGTTGCAAGAGGTGGAATGAGGGTTCGAAAAAGACTGCTGCGTGGAGAAAGTGTTGCGGGTGATTGTACTAAGGGAAATGTTGAAGGTGATTGAACGAAGGGTGATAGTGTTGAAGGTGATTGTATTGAGGACAAAGGAGATGGTTCCAGCACTTGGAAGAGCTGCTGATCAGTCTCAGCCTCCAAAGCTGTTGCGACGGACAGAATGTGAGTGAGGGCTGCTGCTGCTGCTGGTGCCAACACTGACATTGGTGAAGGAGGGAGCGGTGAGGTTGGCACAGGTGGTGATTTTTTGGGCTGCAAGGAATAAAGATGACCCTTTGTTGGAGTACCACCCTGCTAGCAAATGGAAAGAAAGACAAGAAGAGAGGGATGAGAATGGCGAGAGACGGGTAGAGAATCGACAGAAAGATGAAAGATGAAAAGCGGGTTCCTAAGACCATGGCCTTGATGTAACAAATTGCTGTTGGTTATAGAGAACAGAATAGCTATAGTGCCTTATGAGTCGACAAATTATGATAAGGGGTTGTTAATCACAGATACGAGATAAATTTAAAGGCTATCACATGGATAGTGCTATTTTCAATGGCAAATACATGTATGCCAGCTTCCAGCAGAGTGTTCCGCGCTTCTTGCTTGAAAAACTTCCGGCACGTATCGAATACACATATTGGTGACATGACTAAGAACATGTTTGGAATTGTCAACAAGAGCGACTTACATGGTGCGTATTCCGGTACATGGTTGATATGTTGCCGAGGGACAGATGAGGCCAGTTCAAAGGGTTGGCCATCTCATATTGCAAGTAAACAATAGGGCAAGGAACCTCCACTTGAGCACGATGGAGCAAGGGACCCTCCGCTTCAGCACGATGGAGTAAGGGACATCCCCTTGAGCACGATGGAGCAAGGATTCGCTACAGCTATTCAGGAGCGCATTGAATCTTTTGCAGCATGCCTTGCAGCCTCGCCTCGACAGCACCTTTGCCCTGGCAACGGCTTGCCACTGCTCGTGCCATGCATCGCCACGTGCAGCAGCAAGGTGTGGACCTCCTGGGATGCGCAAGGGGAGAGCACATGGGCAGAACGGATAAGGCAAGCTAGAATGCGCCGCCACGTGCAGGAGCAAGGTGCGGTCCTTCTAAAAGGTAGAAGAGAAGGAAAGAGGGAGTTAGAGTGGTTCCAAGCATCCCCTCTTGCATTGCAATGCGCCGCCATATGCATCAGCAGCAGCAGCAGGTGGTCCTCCTGAAAAGATTCAGGGGGGGAACATGCAGATAATGTGCCATTGCACTAGCGTGTGGTGATCCTGGGAGCCCGACGCTCCTCCAGGGAGCGCGGTGCTCCTGGGAGCGCGAGGCTCATGGGAGCGCGGTGCTCCTGGGAGCGTGATGCTACTGCTGCCATGTGCACCAGGTGACACCACCCTCCTGTTCGGTGTACCAGGTCTGAAGGACTAGGTACGGGCAATGACTAGGTACGAGCAAGGACTAGGT